CTACACGCGGGCGATGATCTCGATATTACCTCGAGTTTGGCTTGACTGAAAATATCAGACTGGCTCTAGTTTTCATAACATTTTATTTTTTGTTTTGTTAGATCTTCAAATACTTAGATATGGTTGTTATTTGGATATGGCAGTTATTTAATGTGGGTAGAAGAGTTTAAACCTAGGGGGTTAAGGGTTAAACTTAAATTGGTTAGTTGGATTTTTTCATTGCAGCATTAATTTTTCCTTTACATGAAAATCATCCCAAAAAACTTTATGGAAGAACATAAAGACAGGAGTTAGTGAAGTACAGTATAACCAATACATTCAGAAAATTTTGTAAAACTCAAAATGGCATCGGTATTGGTATTGAGAATCGATAAATTTTGTGATCGTCACATGACCACTTCTCAGTGTTCCACAGCTTTGATCAATAAGTTAAACTAATGCAAGCCAACACGTCCTTAGTACAGGTTGACATAACAAACAAAATACATTTGTAACAATATTACAATATTAAGGGGTTTTCTTTACATTTTCTTTTCCTGTTGGATAATTAACCCTGCGGTCTGATTGGAAGACATGCAAATTATAGTCGTGATTTCAAATATCTTTTAGAGTTATTCAAGAAAAATGTGCTTTTTAAAGCAATGGGGGTTGTAGTGTTTTTTTTTTTTTTTTTTTTTTAGTTAAAAAGACTATATATAACATACTAAATTCTAGCCAAAACTGCTCAGGAAGAAAACCATAATTAAAAATTTAAACTTTATAAAATGAGGAAAATTGCCTAGTGATACCATAGATAGACCTACAAACCAAGTTTCATAAAAATCAAACTACAGTTGTGGCATATTCAGCGCTGTACACATCCACACACGCACAGACATCACCTTGTAAACCACTTTTTTTAATTCTGTGGGACCGAAAACCCAAAACTCTAACTACAAAAAGTGGACAAAGCAACATTTTTTCCATATGCTGTGTAGTGTATAGGGGGAGAAAGTAAAAAAATGTTTAAAATGAATTGTTTCTTTTTAGGATGTTTACGTAGTGACCATAAAATTAGAAAGCAATCTTGTAAGCTATCTACCAAGACAGTTTTTGCATAAACTTTAAAACGAACCTCCAAAATGTATTTATGAAAACTTTTGAGTGTTTCAGAGCAGTATATCCCACAACACTGGGGAAAGTGCTCACTACTTTCTTCCTCTTAATTAATCTTCTGTCACGAGCTAGCTCATCTGGAATCTGCTTTCTTTGAGTGTTTTGTGCTTAATGATTCATTTAAGTGTTAGTGAGTGCTATCTCCATTTTAATAACTATTCATGCAAGAACAAAAAATTAAGTATCACAACAAACTGTGGGTAAACTAAAATTAAGTGTGGCACGGTTTTCAAAAAAAGTTCAAAAATATAATATTTCATATTGATGATAAAAATAATAATCTTTGTACATTTTTAAAACAAGTATTTTTGGTCAATTTGTTTACTCTACTTAAAAATTAATACAAGGCAAATAAAAAAATCTTTTAGAGAATAAAAGAGGTGGCCCAAAAGCCATTTGTAGAATTTAGTTTTAAAAGTATTTTCAGGGTATTTGTGTTTATTATATGTAATAAGCTTGGTGAATATTTTAAATGAAATTACATTATATAATTATGACTTTTTAGAGTTTTAGATTATCTAAAAAAATCTATGGTAGCAAAGGGTTTATTCCTAGTAATATAAACATGAGTGAAAATTAAAAAATTAAACTATTTAACATTGCAAAAATAAAATAAATATAGTTATTAAGTTGATATTTCTACGGATAAATGAGCATGTTTGTTCTACAAATGAAGGTTTTGAGTTTTAACCTACATTACCAATCAGGTAATCAGGTAACCTATCAAAACAATCAGGTTATGTTTATAAACAAACAGTAAATGTTCTTCGGGAATAGTTAACTAGTCATTGGGTGCCACAGGGTGTCGAAAACTCTCGTACAATACACAGGTTAAACTGATGCATGTTCCCAGAATGCACCTATTGTTTTTGAACTTAGCATTTATTCACTATCTCCAAAGCCACAGTAAAAACTTCTAAAAATGGTTCCATAATTTTGAAAATATTTAAAATTAGGGTTAAGGTAGTGCTAATTTTTTTACTAAATTAGCTCCAATTTATATTATTATAATATCTTTTTATAGAACAAAAAAAATCTTTTTTCAGTTGTAGTATTTATTGGATAGCATATAAAAATATTACGTAATATTCCAAGAAAAATTAGTATAAAGTAACTAAATAAGTTTAAGTAAGTACATACATAACTTTGACTACGGTGCACAAACCTTACTACCACAGACCTATGAAACACAAGACCTATGAATGACACTGACTTCTGCCCGGTGATTGGCTTAACAAGGGCACGACCCACACAATTACTCAACTGATGAAGCGGCTTTCATACAAGTTTTACACATTTTTAGAAACACGTTTGAATTACCGACATTTGAACCTTTCAAGAAAAAAGTGCACAGAATAGAGCTACTTTAAGGTTAGTTTATACTTTGTAGACTTATTATTGACTTTGGATACATCACGCTACCATATCAGTTATTAAAACGTAATGAACAGTTTTATGATAAAAAATCCAACAAGAAACAGTTTTTTATATTTCAAGTTTTACCTAGTGTAATGTATATTTTTAACACTTAGCCTGGTAAAACCGAGTAACACACCCCTTTGAAGCTGTTATTTAGCGGGAAGGGGCAACATCTTCCGATGCATAAAAATGCATCGGGGTATGCATAAAAATGAGGTATTATACCTCATTATAAATATCTGCCGTGGGTATTCTAAGGAAACATTGTTTTGTTTGTCCGGCAAGAACAGATGTATGAATGTCGTACAATAATGCTTTCTTTTACTCATAAAATCTAAAAGTGCTGATCTTTTATTTATCTTTCTTCTCAATTCAAACAATTCTGCAAATTTGTTTAGAGGTTAAGTATTTTTATAATATAAAAACAAATCATTTTCCATCTTGTTTCATTCTAAACAATGATTTAATAAAAAAAGAATCCAATTGTTCTATGTAGCAGCTAAGATATTATAACTGCAACACATTTGTGAGATTATAGAATACTAGTGAACATGTTGCTTGAATTCGAGTAATTGCAAAGTATTACAGGCGTTAATTCAAAACGAATATCAGTCATAATTTCCGATGTGTTAATAGAGTCAACTCAAAGATAATGTAATCAACCACTCCACTCCAGTTATCGCAACTGAAAACGAACTCACTCTGAAGACAAACGCTCTTATGTATATCATGTGTTAACTATGAACAGCTGATTTAGTATGCAATTTATTAATACAAATGATTTGTCTGTTAGCGTAGCGAACGAGCTCCAACCTAAAGGTGAGTGAGCGTAGCGAACAAACTTCAACCAGGACGTGATTGAGCCATGCGAACGAGATCATCTTGAAAATTAAGAAGTTAAACGCGGCAAAGCCCGCGGGTTACAGCTAGTTATATATAAGGATGGATAACACTTGAAAATTCATTTTAGACATAGTCCTTTGGAGATAATGGTCTTTGTATGCAAAAACTAGCAAGTAGCAAGTTTTGCTTTTTATGGACTTGTTTGGATAATTTTTGTATTTTTTAAAACTAAATATTAAGTAATGTTACCTTATTTAGAATTTGAAAAAGAAGTTGAATTTTACAACAAATTAACTAGTTTTAGAAATTATAAATTTTGTTTATTGATGGATGTATTTCCTGAACAAACAAAACAAAGTGTTATAACAATGCTATTGAAGGTTTGTAAAGAAACATTTAGGAATTTGAAAAGGTATATGGTTGACTCTTAATAATCCAACACTCCCGGGATCCGGAGGTTATGGATTGTAAGAAATTGATAACAAAGGAAAACTGAATCTTTAATCTAAGAAAAATAGAACTTTGAAGCATTATTATGCATTCTTTGACCAGTGGGAGTTCTAGGACCTCGTCAAGAGGGGCTACGGTGATCATGAGGGGGGGGGGTTAGGGGGTTCTCCTATTTGCTATTTTATAAGCCTTTAGAGAATAAAGCAGAAGATTACGATGGCTGGGACATTTATATAGAAGAGCTGATAACAGTATGATTAAGAAGGTATGGATGGGGCAACCAGAAAGACGACGGCCGCTGGGACGGCCCAGATTAAGATGGAATCGGAATGACCAAGTGAGGCAGGACCTCAGAAGGTTAGGAGCAAGTTTGGAGGCAGCAGAAGACAGGCAGCTAGCAGTGGAGGAGCATTGTTGGCGAGGCCAAAAATCACTTGGGATTTGTGTGGCCACAGGAGTAAGTAAGTAAGTAAAAGCCTTTAGAGACTTTTTAAAGCTATTTTTAAGGTTTAGAACTATGTCAAAAACCTGTGTTTATTGTTTAGATTATTAGCTCACTTGTACATCTAATCTCGTTTGCCTGAATCATAATTATATAACCTATATTATAATTCAATTAGGACTAGCTATATATAGCTTTACAGCCTGTGACATGTGAGTTGGCAATCACTACTATCCACAGTCACTGGGGGGTTGTATCAACTGTCCCCGTGACCCATGTGAAGGCGCTCAAGAACACAAAAACACACACGGATATTTTTGTATTCCGGTCTTTTACTTACCTCCATCTTCCACATCCCCCCTAAACTGCCCGTAGGCCAAAGTGCCAGCTTACGTGACAAAAGCTGTACTATTACAAGTTAAATTGTTATAAAAATTCAGGTACTAATTTACAGATAGTCAAACAAAGCATATTATTTCACTTATTAAAAAGAATAATTACTACACAATATCGAGAGTCAACTGTACGGTATAGGGAAAACAGTAAATTGTTCCATAGCGCCCACGGCTGCTGCAAAGTCGAGAAAAAGTTGTCCAAATGACTTGCTCCAACAGGACGAGTAAATCCAGTTATAAGTAGTACATGTCTAAGAGCATTCAACATGCCAAACCACAAATAGATAAAGTCTTACCTTGGCCGCCACAATGCTCAGTCCCATCCCATTGTTGGACTTGTGCAGTTTGATCAGTTGGATCTCTGGCTGCTGTTGTGTGGGGATAAAACCTCCGGAACGGTTGCTCATTGCACTGGAGCTGCGGACCTGCAACCAAAATCACACCTTGGTTACATTCATCATAGTAAAATTTTATAAAAATTTAATGGCTTGAAAAATGACCAAAGATCAAATTTACTAAAGTTACATGTATTCAAGCAAAGAATCCTTATTAAACTTGGAATAAAATACAATGAGAGGAGGATAGAAATGCAAAAAATTGAAATTAATAAGTAATGGACTTATTTGCAACGGATAAGTAAATTTCTGAATAATTTTCACAACTCTTTTGTCCTGATAGGGAGAAAGTTGAACAACAAAACTGAATGGCTATGATAAACTTTACAAAACCATCATAGTTTGTTGCTGTAGCAAAAAAACCAAGAACATTACTGTATGCTTATGATATGCTACCTTTACTGAAGTTGTCATTGGGTCAAGGATACATACCATAGGGTTGGCAGGTCCCATGTAGACAGTCCAGAGTCCATTGGAGGAAGGCTGTACAATGAGTCTACACAGTCCCATGTGTTGCAGCGGACCTACAAACTCAGCTAGACCTGCAGGTATACCTCGGACAACCTCACAGCTGTAACAATAATTATAGCTAAGTAATGTGACCCCACACAATTTAGGAATCTAACATGTATTGTAATTCCTAATTGTTTGTAATGATTTTAAATAAAAAATATACAGCGGCAAATGTTCTAAATGTTAAAAAGCTCACACTTTTTGATTTTACAATACCCAAAGTGTTGCCTATGATAAGATGTAGCTTCCTCAGTGGTAAAGCTGAGACTGATGCCTCAACATAGCATGGGCAAAGCATTTTGTATTGTAGATAGTGTAAATATCTGTATGACACAGCTATCAACGGAAGATCAAGAATGTAGTGATGACAATGGTCTCTTGAGCCAATGAGCTAAGGTACATATGTGCTCAAGGATGCACTCTCACCTGTATCCATCCTCAGGCAGCAGGAAAGGCAAGGCCAGTTCAGGATCTTCTTCTAGCTTCACCTCTCGGCCATCAGAGCGGGCCAGCTCATCAGCCAGGTTCTCGGCAGCCTGTGACAATCAAGCACACGAGTCAGACTTGAGTGGGCAACATCAAAGTAGTAATTAATTAAGAGTGAAATATTATACAAGAATTATTTCTAAACATTTTACCTGGCGTATTATTTAACATAAGAATTTTGCAAACCTTAATCACACGGATTATATGTTTAACTCATATTCCACTCCAACCATAAGTAAGTTCCTTACCCAAGATGGTTATGTCTTTGCAATCAATGAAAGCTAAATAATATTCTGAGCACGAGTTTTGATTTTACTCACATAACTTGAGTTCTTATTTAGGCCTACACAACTCATTTTTATCTAAATATAAGATCTATGTCTTCATCTGATCCACTATATATTACAATTAGGGATGTGTCAATTCCAATACCGATACACGTCACACGAACCGAAAATTAGCGGTATTGCTGCAAACGTGCAAGAGGACGACGATGCTGTTTTCATGTCTGCGGGACAAAACTTGCATGAGTTGCATCCCAGAGTTGTTGGTTTCAACTAAAAATACGCTTCACTTTTGACTAACTTCAACTACAGACATAACACATACCCTTACAACATTGTCGATGAGTTCGTGAGGCAGCCTGGGCTCGTCAGGGGTAGGTTGGTACTTCTGCAGCAGTGCACGCAACTGTAGTGAGTTGAGCTTGAAACACGTAGAGGTGAGAGTCGCAAGGTCCTCAGCAGTGTACTTGGGAGCCTGGAACATGACAGTGACTTAACATTTATTTGGCATTAGATTAGGAACATGTTAAGGAAGTGGAAATGGATACACAAATAACTTGATACTTCACAAAGTAAACAAAATCTTAATCTAAATGATTATTTTCAAGATATTAAGGATGTTTCCACATAATTGAGTCACAATGAGACACTATTTACAAATTGGGTCATGAGAGATGACCAAGTGTATTTACCTGTAGTAGATGTGCAGCTTGCATTATACGAGCCAGGTGACAATCTGCAGCCAACTCCAAGCCTTGACGTTCTGCCCACACCTCGATCTGTGAACATGGAAACAATCAGTCAGAACTCAGAACTGAGAGATATGTAATCACTACAGAGAGCTAGTGTAAACACCGTTTGATTTAGATAAACAGTAATAGTTGAAGAAATGACATCGCTAATAGTGCTTGGTAAACTTTGAGTAAAGTATTTATAATTTAAGAGTTTGATGGAGATCATAGATAAAAATATCTGATACCACTAACACAACAAACAAACTAGTCTTCTGGGTATGACTGCATTCAGAAACTTACAGTACATGACCTAGGCTATTCTACCTCAAATGCAGACAGCCTTCGTGAGAGCAGTACACCGAGAGAAGTGTCAGGCGCTACTACTAACAGTGCAATGAGGCTGAATTGAATGTATGAATTTAAATGGATATGATTAACACTAACCTGGGCCAGCCTGGCCTTGAGCCGGAGACCCCATGCTCTGCTGCAGTACTGACTGTTGGGAGCCACGATGCGGTTGAAGGCCCACACGTTGATGAAGTGGAACAGCTGAGAGAACAGCTGTATGGTGAGAGCTGCGTTGACTCGACATCGCCTCAACAGAGCCATGGCAGAGGCTAGCACTCCCAGCTCCTGAGGATCATAAGTTGATTAGAGGATCAAAATCATTGTTTTAAGACAGAGACATAATGCTGTGTAGATTAACCTGCATATGAGTGAAGAACAGATTAAGATGATCTGCGTGGGTTTTTTACTGACTAAGATCAGCTGTTTCACTAGTAAAAAGTAAGGACCCTTTAAAATGCTGTCAATAACAGCAAAATATTAAGATTTTTATGTATGAAGTTTAAATTTTTTTTAAAGTATACTTTTTTCCACCTACCTAAGCTTCCTATCATATGCTTATATGATCATTTATATATTTAGCTTATATCATTTACAAATATCTCTTATAAACAAGTTGCCTAAAGTGAGCGTCTCAGATCCTGCTCCACTCCCTCACCCTGGCAGGGCCTTCAGAATGCAAACAGTCCTCCTTGTCCTCAACTAAGACACCTTTGGACTATCTATTTTTAAATATAATTTTATTTCTTTTTACAACATGAGGATGTAGTAAAAGCTTACCGATGCACTTGACGAATCTTCGGGGTCGTGACTGAGCTCATCTCTCTCAGACAGAAAGTTGGGCATGACAGCTGCAAGTTCAGCTTGCAGACAGGCCACCAGGTGTCTGTCGACAAATACATTTTGTAAAGGAAACCAAAGATACAAATTGTATATCTTACAGGTTATTTAACGATGACCGTAAAATTAATATAAGCCAAGCAGTTTCTTTTGCCCAACTCATATAATTTTCAAAATATTCCAGTTTAAGATTGAAAACATGATTTTTGGATTACAAGGTAGCATTGTGCTCGTGGACCCAGCTATAATTTATAGTTTACTAATATCAAAATTTTTGCAAGGAATTCTAAAATTTTAAAAAGTAAAGCAAATAATGTTAAAATAGAGGGTTCTCACTATAATAAATTTTTTACAAACATTCACAGTTATTTTTCAAACCATTGCAACCAATGCACGTCTCTGAATCAAACCAGCTGAAAATAATGAATTGTTTAAAACATCCCATAACTATTCATATTAATAGTCTACCTGAAGGCAATCTGTACAGCGTCGGCCAGTGTGTCCTGAGCGTCCAGTGAGAAGGCGGACACGTGTCTGTCAGACTTGAGGAAGTGAAGGAGTTCCGAGGCATTGGCCAACCACAGAGCCAGTGACTTCACCTCACAGTACCTCTCCTAGACATTACACACACTTGTCATTCAGAGTAAATAGTAATGACACATTCACAATGGTTAAACGACCCAATGTTCAGAGTAATTATAAACCAAAACAAATAAAATTTGGGACCTTTTCCGTTAATTCATTACCCCTAGTGCCCTAGTGGAATGTGGCTAGGTTAGGTTAGGTTATAGAGTAAGAAAAACCTAATCTAACCTGACCTAATCAAAGTTGAATTCACTACCACTTCTATTGCCAATAATCTATTGCTCTAAAAACTAGCTCTGTTGCAAAGTGGTAGTGAATTAACAGAAAAGGTCCAAAATTTGATTGAATTTTTTTGCAGCTCAATAGTATTGTCGTGGGCTGATAATTCAATCATTCCTGTACATTTAGGCGGCTTTACGGAAAGAAACTATCCCCTCCACTTGATCCTACCTTTAAAAAAGCTCGACAGCTTTGTCAAAATGGCAATCAGCCGCAACATATAGACATTAACCAAAAAGTTAGTGGGAGAACTTCCTCCCAAACCGCCTACATTTTGTCAACAGACTATAGTTTGAGACCATTTACCTGCACTGTCTTATCACTGCCATCACCAATGGCTTTTCTATGTGACTTATACTGTAATGGTACTGACTTTAGACCACAGCACAGATCATGTAGTCTAAGGTAACAATAGGCAGTTGAGTTTAAAAGAAATTACAAGTACATTTACTACTAAGCATTTCCAACATACCTGTATAACATTGTGTATCATAGCAGCAACTCGCGCCAGCATGAGTGTCAGCTTGTACGCCCTCTCCGTTGGTGTCAGCTCAGGTCTGTAGTGTGTGCTGGCGCGGTAGCGAGCCGCAAGGTACAGTGTGTACGCCGGCGCCAACTTGAACACCAGACTGTTCGGTTCTAGATTGGTGATTAACTCGTGTAGCAGTGCTTCTTCTTTTTCCTCTCTCAGTTCCAAGACTGCTGGCAGAATCGGGTCGTTTCCTCTTGGATATCGCTCGTAGTTGGATAACCTGTAAACAATAATTTTATTGTAATGTGACATATTTTGGCGATGAATAAAATATTTTGTTTCATTTTTCAGTGAATTCTTGCACGACTGATGACAGTTGAGGAGTACTCTGGGAACTTTGATAAAAAAAATGCCATTAATCATTATTTATTAGAATAACCCCAGTAATGAAGTCTGTCTCGGTTAATGTGTAAAACCATGTTACCATAATATGAGACCATGTCTATTGCAAGATTGTTTTGCTTAAGGACAATAAAGGATTTCTGATTTCTGATTCTGATATCTGAATGAAAAGTCAAAACCCTAAAAACAGCAGAACTTTGATGTTACTAAAAAATAAGACCTATGTAGTTTAATTGAAAATGGCAACAATCTACAAATAAATATCTATATTCAACTTTTTTGTGAACAATATTTATCTGAATGTTTTTCAATTTGTAATTAAAAATATTAAATTTACCTTCAACCATTAAGCAAGTTTTAATTTGACAGCCTAATACATGAATCCTTTAAAACTTTTTTACTCCTGTGTATAATATTTGGTCTAAAACCAAGGATATTTAAATAATTGCTTAAACATTCAACCCATGCCAGATGTAACTTAATGTACATTTCTTCATAGTCACATTACCACACTGCAATACATCTTCCGCCACCCATGCAACACACTCTTGTCAATACAGACCTATTGCCGTCCCTACTGCTGCTGCCCACCGACCTCTGCGATCGCGTCTCATCTTTGTTTCCGAGGCTGGAAGTAGATCGTGTCTCGACATTTCCGTCAACGTCGAAAGTAGTCTCGTAATTCTGTGTAGGGGTGGGGGTAACAGGGGGCTGGCTACCAGTAGATTGTCTGGGTTAAACACAACATGCCGGATAAAACAAGCGTGCAGACGACACCACAGAAAATAAAACATCAACAAAACATACTAACATTGATAGGAAAAACAGAAAAAGAGTGAAATTGCAGTTGAGTTTGAGTAAAACTAAGTGGGATACAAAACGAGTAAAAATAAATCTGCAACATGTAGGAAAATGAAATTAATTAGTTCTGTAATTAAAATAAAGGTTGTAAAAAAATACAGGGACAATTCAGAAGAAAATAAAAAATTAGAGTAATTAAAAAATGCTTCAAAAAGAAAAAAATATCAATTTTTTTACAAACATAAAGCCAAACAAACATTGACTTGTACAACACAAAATCCCTGGGGTGAATTTTATTTTGTATACCATTTTTCATGCTTTGAGTTTTCTGACACTTGGAGGTATGTGCACTCACCGATCGTACGAGTAGTCATGAGCCATCCTTGCTGAGTCGTGGCGTTGTCTTAGCCTCTCGTCATGGCATGGATCACAAAACCTAAAATTGTGTATCCTCCCGAACTTTACAACTGCTCCATTCTGGGGAAGAAATATTCAAAATTAAGATTATTATTATAAAGAGTTCAATACGGAGTCCCACAAGGATCTGTTTTAGGACCCCTGCTGTTCTTAATTAGTATTAATGATCTTCCTAGCTCTGTTCGTACAAAGTCTCTGTTATATGCCGATGATACCACTTTTGTAGACATTTCTGATGACTTTGTTCAGCTCAATTTACTTGCCCAGACAACTTTGAAAGACGCTGCGACTTGGTTTAAAGCAAATCGATTTTTACTTAATGATCAAAAAACTCAAAAAATGTTATTTACGTAAGGACTGTAGATGGTGTAATTACTGATGATTTGGTCTCAAATGCAAAGTTTTTAGGAATTTATATTGATGACAAGTTAAACTGGCAACCACATATTGAGCACATATCTTGTAGACTTTCTAGAGTTACAAGATGTTTTGTACAAGGTGTTTTTTTAGAGTTATCTATCTTTTAAAACGACTGACAATGTGCGTCCCAAGTCATTATCTAAAAACAACTTACTTTGCCTATTTTCAATCTATTCTTAGATATGGTCTGATTTGTTTGGCAACTGTACTAAAATTGATGACATTCTTATCCTTCAGAAGAAGACAATTAGAGTTATGACCAAGTCAGATATAAGTGCTCATTGCAGGCCTTTATGTATTCAGTTGGAAATACAAACCATTATCAACCTTTACATTTTTTATCTTGTATCTTATATACTAAAAAATCAGGACCTTGTTACACTCACTGGGGATATTGCACAGTTACAACACTCGCAATAGGGATAAAGCAGCAATTGAGTACAATAGGCTCAGCAAATCACTGTCTAGTCATGTAGTACTATCCCTTAAGGTATATAATAAAGTAATTAATCTTAGTAAGAAATATACAATTAAAGTTTTTAAGAACAAATTTTATGAGTGGTTATCTAAAAATCCTTTTTATTCACTTAGTGAGATTTTCTTATTAAAACATATAGAATTTTAATGTTTGGAATCTGTTATGTATAATTTTTGATTCTTGTATAGTTCCTATGACTTTTATATTCCTATGATATGTGATATTACCCTTAGGCCTAATTAGAATAGTGACTTGGCATTTCTGCTGTATACTTGACTTTGTCAATGCTTATGTAGCCTGAAAGACAATAAACATATTCTTATTCTTATTTGAATCGGGTATTAAACTAGTCCACTAATTTCATAAAATTTTCAGGGAGCATTAAAAGTATATTTATAAACTCTTAAGGTATGTCTTCATTAGTTTCTTGTTAAATTTTCATTTCGAATAACTTTAACTCCTAACTTCAAAACTTATATAACTTTTATAACTTAAAATTTCCGAGAACGTTTGTGCAAAATGAACGAGACGGAATTATAACCCATACTATTTTGATGAGAAAGAAAAAAATAAATAAATTGGCTTAAATCTAACCCAAGGGAGAAATTGGTGGAAGGAGAAGAGTTGATTGACCAGGATGGAAAAGCATGACATCTTAAGTTAGGAATAACTCAGCATTTCTCTAATGCTGAAAGTAAAATGTCTGCAGCATTTGGGTGAGGAGGAGCATCATGATAAAAAAAGATATAGGTAGAGGTCTGGAGCTGTTCAATTAGTAACTTCGAAGTTTGTAAAAATTATAGACAGTTGAAAACTAATTCGGTTTCTTATTCTCTTAAAAGGAAGTTGTCCTTGAGATTCACTTTGTTAAACTATTTAACCAAGGTAAACAATTGAATAAAAATACCTACAGTTGAGTCAATAGAGGCATATTTGGTCATAACGTGCTCACCTGCAGTATAGTGGTCTCATATATCCTCTGTCCGTTGACGTAAGTCTCTGCGTCGCGGCTGCATGGCGTCACTGTGACAATGCCCTCGGTGTGCGCGATCACACAATGTCTCGGCTGGATGTTCGGCCCAAACAGCTGCAGCGTCTGACTCTGTGAGTGCGGCGATGCTCGTTCACTCCCCACCTCCGTCACATTGGGGTGAAGCCTGTGGCGCTTGGCGGTGCCGCCGGCAATGTCACTCCCGTCTGTGCAATCACATACAAAAGTGATAGTAATAATTGAATTTCCAATGAAAAGTACAGTAGTATTGTTACGAAACCAATAACTCCATGAACTTTGAAAGCCTGGGGGAAAATCATAAAGGTGAACTTTGTTCTAACCAAGAAAAATGCACTGGGACATCGAAGGAGCAAGAACTTTCATTTGTTATATATGCAAGGTTTGATAAATGAATGCAAGGTTAAAAGAAGTCGCCAACCTCTTAAAAAAAAAAAATATCCGTTCAAAGTGTCTAAAGTTATACATATATATATAAAAGTATACTTTAGTTAATTTAATTTAATTACCATAGTCTACATGCAAAAACCAAATTCATGATAGTAACAAGAGGAGAAGCTGGAAATAATGAAGAGTTTTTTCAAGTCAACAACCATGAATTCCAAAGAGTAAATAATTTCACCTATCTAGGCGTTCTACTATCTGACAAAAATACGGAAGACATGGAAATTCAGAATAGGATAAATTTAGCAAATAAGAGTTGGTATGCATGCAGTAAACTAATGAAATCAAAACTTTTAACAAGAAAGACAAAAATTAGAATCTACAAAACTATAGTAAGACCTGTACTTTTATATGGAGGGGAAAATTGGATCCTGAGCAAGAACTCAGAAAAGAAAATAATAACTTTTGAGAACAAAGTTTTGAGAACTATATATGGGCCAGTATCTGAAGATGGAGTATGGAGAATCCGCCACAACCGGGAGCTAAGAGAATTATTTCAAGACCCTGAGAAGTTCATTGGAGAAGTTAAGAGTAGAAGATTAAAGTGGGTTGGCCATATCCTAAGGAGAAAGGAGGAGAGTCTACTGAAGATAGCACTCAGAGGAAATCCGAGGGGAAGAAGACCAATAGGTAGACCGAAAGCCAGGTGGTGGGGTCAAGTACGAAAAGATTTGGAAAGGATGAGGCTTGTAGAGGAAGATGCATGGGACCGAGACTATTGGGGACAGTGTGTTGGCGAGGTTAAGTACCAAGCTAGGGTACAAGTGGCCATGGCAGTAAGCAGTAAGTATACTTTAGTTAATTAAATGAGAAAATATTGTAAATTAAAATTATAAAAATATACAATTACAAAATGTCTAACAACTCCCGGCAGAAAACACTGTCGATAGAAATAGATTTCATCATAGGAAATGTTAACTGGATTTGGCAATGACATTTCTTCTTTGGACCAAATTGGGTAATCAATTGGCTCAAAGTCACACACTGATCACCAATTGTCTCCAAATTGAATTTGTTAGTAGGCAAAAAGAGTGGGGTGTCCGCAGAATTTATTGATTGTCCCTGATATTGTTTCCTCTGAGAGTATTGGGTAATGGAATTGGTGAACACATGTATTGTTCTCTGTTTTGCTTCAAACTATATCTTGTGATTTTATACTGAAATTCAATCATGCTCCAGTATGATACAATACATTGAGTTAAAAAGATGAACGGTTATGTTTCAGAATCTATATATTTAATACACTAATTGCAAAGTTTTTACAGTATTGTGTCTCCAGGAGAAGAATTAAGGTGTAGATTAAGTTATTGGGGATGATAATTTTGAGTGTAGTTCCACAAATACAAACACAAACATTAAAAGAAGTGATTTCCCACGAGACAAGATAAATCTCAAACTTGGTACCTTTGTCACGCTAATATCAAGACCTAGTATTTTACTAACAACAATAGACAAAGTAAATTGTAATACACAACATTTCAAACTGAAGTACACATTTTATAGTCCCTTTAAATTATCAAACCATTTAGAAAAAATTATGCATTATTGAGATATAACAATTGAAATATAGGTGACAAAGTGCATAAGCAATGTGTTATCCTACCCTGTTGGTCAAACTGATATCAAACAAAGCTTTCATACAAGTGACAGATGTTTCAAGGGAAACACTCATATTTGTTGGTCCAGCGATGCTTGTAACCACTTGAACATTTCATTTCTTTTCACGACAATATTGTTTTCACAAGTTACTGCCATAACTAAGGTTAATTGTTCGGAAAGTCGTGAGTTTAATTTTTAGCACTTGTTCAAAACTGATTATATTGTGATAATTTTTTGCGCTATTTTAAGAAATGTCTGCACAAAGATAATAGTGTGTTTTTAAGTCAACAGCAACAATATAAAAGTTATTTTTCAGTAACAATGTTTTTTTAGCTTAACATCAAATTATAATAACTGTGTCGCCATATGGTGTCCATGTAAATGAGTTGTTCAATAATTTATCAGACTACCACACACTGTTGGACACAACTGCATCACAATTGGTCCTGTATGGGTCTAATCACAATTCTCATCACTGTAACTAGTATGGAAATCACCCTCCACATCAATAGACATTAGCTGTTTGGTATTTGGTACAAATGACTAATTCAAAGACATTCTGATTAAACCAAAGTCTGAACGATCTGGTAGTTTATAATTAATACTTTGAGGCAACTGGATTTGCAATTTTGAGGACCATTAAGAGTTCCAACATAAGCTTATTATGGTTTATGGACATCATTTTGAGAAAGTCCAAGTTCAAGCATTTTATTGGTTTTGAAAGGATATAGTTTTCTTATCTCGTTTTTACTACGGTATGTATATATTTATTTTCTCTTTATATATGATTACTCTTCACTTAAATGAACTGACAATTGATAATGCTGCATCATATTTAAAATGTAGGGTGATAATCAAAAATGTTAATTACAAATCTAAATGTTAAATGTAATGGTTTGGTAGAATTTCCTTTAAAAAAAAACTGTATTTAGCTAGGGAAAAATGTAATACCACAGATAATCAATACGGTAGAGAATTTTGTTAGTGTAAGGTCTAAATCAATTAAAAAATCTGCTCCGAGAGAGTGACTCAATTCTCTCCTTTACTCATTGTACAGTAGAACTCCCCTTATTCACCTTTGGAAAACAGATTCCTTAAATATATGAGTATTTCAGACCATCCAATGTGCTATCAAAAGTTGTCATTAGTAAGAAATATTTTTCACTTTAAATTTGTGTGTAAATGAGTATACAAATTTCCTGACTCTTTATCAGTTATGTGACCTTTGTTTCACGCTCACCTCTATATGGCCAAACATGAGTTATTGAAACAAACAGGTATGAGAGGATCTTCAATGGTTTTGTTACATGCAAACAGAATTTTGACTGATTAAAATTATGGCACACAAGAAATGGACTGAGAAAAGTGAACATATAAGGTGCATATTGGTCGAATGATCAATATTAATCATCCTAGCTGTTGAGTTTGTAATGCTTCAGCTGTTGAGATTGTCTGCCAATATTCACATCAACTTTACTCACCAGGATTGAGCTCCAGAAAGAACGGCAGCCGATCGAACCCATCCTCGTAGCGATACTCGTGCATCTCCGTGCTGCTCTGGTGGTTCCATTTCTGTTGTGGCTTCTTCTTCCTCTTCCTAGGATGGTAGTCGGCCGGCCGGCGGCGCACGTGGAACATTATAGAACCTGTGAACATGCCAAAGGTCGGTGAGTCTCTGCCTGTGGGTGATAAGGGTCTGTTGACACAACTGCCACTGTCGGTCGAGTGTTTGCCCACCTTTGTTGATTGACCAAGTGGCAAATATTGTGTCTGCTGGAAAATAACAAGGAAACTTATGAGTGGTGATTAAATTCACTACTCAGTGGGCATGAATCATCAACTGTGCGAGTATATCTATCATGGAGAGGAATTGATTTTCAAGATACTGCGGGTTAAACATTTCCAAACTGAATAATTTTTGTAATGGTGAAATATAAATATTTAAGCAATATCTGTGAGTTTATTAGAAATTGAATATATTGTGAAAAATGCGGTTTGATTATTATTTGAAAGATGTATAGTAGCCTCCCTCTTAACAGGTTTTCCGGTTAAACCGATGTCTCCAAAAACTCATTTAAACGGACCATTTAAATGCATACTGTATAAAGTATTTGACTTAAATTTAGGAGAGCATCGTACTTAGAGACATGATCACTGGTCTCAAATCTTTCCCACGAGAACAGTCATTTCAGTACCACCCACTTCCTGCCGATCTAGTTTGGTTAAACCGATGTGCTGATAAAAATTGTCCGGTTAGAGAGATGTAATTTCTGCAGAGTGTAGTCTGGTTAAACAGATGTCCGGTTAAAAGGTGTCCGGATAAGAGAGAGTCTACTGCAGGCAGGCTTGCAAGCAATCTATTCCTATGGTAATCATTTCAATCACTAGTTTCCAAAACAATGCAACCCCATTGGCTAATTTTTCTAAACTATCAGCTAACTGATAGCATTGTTTCTTTATTGTTTCACAGGAATTATTTTGATGCCTAACCTTAGTCTCTTTCTGGCGCTTACTGAATGTGATCTACATCCAAACCAATAACGTATATGGTCTGCTTGACAAGAGTATAAACAGTTAAAACCATAAATACATACATTTTCATAACAATTCTTGAACTTGGTAGACAAGTGATCCATGAATATTTTCAAATTAACAAGTCAGTTGTTACAATATAAGGGTTACATTCATTGTTTTCTATAGAAAAAAATTTAAGTAAACCACATTCCATATAATAAAAACTTAATTTGTTTAGGTTAATCAACAAATTATGTTTACGCCTGAGTTTTTTTCAAAAATGAGTTGAATTGGGTTAGAACATTATTAAGAATTTGTAAACAACTGAAAATGGTAAGAATAACATAACAAACAAATTTGAACAAAACTTGAAATTGAATAACATGGTTAACAACCAAATACAAATTCTAACCTGGATGTGTGCTAAACTTTTTTTAGCACCAAAATACAACCAGCCGATTAATATCATGATAGAACACCAAGATAATTTAAATTTAAACCTTTATATATTCTGACGAACCAAAAACAATTCTAGCAAATTTTATATTTAAACAGAAAGTTAATACAGAATTTATGACCAGCATACCTAAAATGAATTGGTCTTGTAAATATGATCTATGTAAAAGCTAAAAGCTTGAAGAAGAGGATCGAATCACAAAGACCATAATGGCATGGCTTGTCCCGATTGTGATTGCATCACAGATTATACACGATTCATCTATCACGATGACAAGACACAGCCAGAGTACACTGTGTTGTTGTCTTTTGAACACTTTCTTTTTACTGCGACTTTCGCAGTATTGAAATGTTTTTTAACTTCAACAGCAATAAAAAGTCATTAGGTGTTACAAACTGCAATGTTATAATGTCATTTAGGTCCTGCACATTTAAGCAAGATAATAATGTCAGTAGGTTTGAAAAAAAAACATATGCAGGATGAAATGTGACTAGGTTCTACCAATTTATGATATAACTGTATAAAGTTATTAGCATTCGGTTCTAGAGACTTCTGCAAGAGAATTTTACGGAAAGTAAATAAAAGAAACGTCTTATAACACTTAAAACATATATTTACACTTATACTGCTACTCACAAGACGGTAAATATACCGTTACTGTTTTGTATATTTACCGTTATATTATTGTTAGTTGTTAGTGGTTAACCACTTACCATCTGTTTTGTATATTTACCGTCTTGTGAGTAGCAGTATAAGCGTAAATATATGTTTTAAGTGTTATAAAACGTTTCTTTTATTTACTTTCCGTAAACTTTTTCTGTAAGAGTGTAATCTGACTCATTAAGAGTTTCAAAAGCTTAGGTCTATGAAATAGCAAAGCAATATACACTATCATACAAAGAAAATAATTCCCCCCAAGCTAATCTATAGTTCATAGAAAAAATTTAGTAAATTTAAAAATGTGCAAAATACAATTGATGAAAACATTAAAATTTACATGAGTGATCAACCTTAGAATATCAACTAATTTATTTATTGAACCATATGATGATTGCCAGTGCGAAATTAGAATGGAACATTACATTATCACTTATTCATGACAATTATCAGATAAGAGACATGCAAGCTTTGTGGGGTTGTAACACGAGTGCAAACAGCACATTACAACCATGTGTGCGAGAAAGGATAATCACTTATTGGCACAAAATGACTGTTTATTGAGTTCTTGCATTTGATGCTCAGTATATTTATAGGGACTTTCAAAATTTTTATGTGATTTTAAGCATTTATGTTTACAAAAAAAAAGGCTGTTTAATCCTAATTCATTAATGAGCTTTTGTATAGCTTTTAGCTGAGAGAGTTGCCAAAAACAGAGAAGGTTTTCCTTACCTAAGAGTTCTCCTCTTATTTTGTTAGATTAGAATGGAAGAACAACTTTTAAAAGGATTAATAAATATAACGTATGACTGATTCTCAACCCTATAAATTTATAACACCATCGTTAACAAGCACAAACTTATCAGAATACTATTAATATATTTGGCAAAAAGCAATAATGTATAATATGTTCTCTTCGTTCAACAATATACAAAGGTTCTGCGTTTTGGACTATTTTAATTTCAAATAGAAAAATAAGAGTATTACCAAATATAGCCTACTGTAATGAAATTTACACGTTATGGAGAGCATAAGAAAGAACCAATTGATAAACCTGAATCTTAAATAAACTGTTACAACCGTCAACAATATTATTGTGAACATTAAAGACGGTAAAGAACTGTTTAGCATCTAAAGCAACCTAAACATCAAAAACTTTCAATTTATCAAAATCAAAGTGACAAAAAAGATCCACAAAACTGTATAGAGTCGACTAAATAGTTTAAGGTGTAGTCAAGACTATTTCCCAGCTACTCACCATAGTACATGTGGACTTTGTCATGCCTATCTCGACAGTGCAACCCCTAACAAACCCACAGGGGACAAAGAGGCAGGAGGGAGTTTCAAGGGTCCTTCCTCTGATGGCACTTTAATTAAATATCTCAGCCAAGGCAAAAAGGCGTTATCAGTTTGGCATAGCATTTTGTTGTAAATAACTTAATTTCTGTCATTTTTATAGGGTATTTTTCATGTTTTTTTAATGTTATTTTTCAATGGTTTGGGGAATACTTTCAGGTATGAAAGAAAAGAAATTTTGTAATTTTTCTTTATAAATATTTAACAATTTGGACTGATGGAATTTTATAGTCTAACAACTTTCATATCCACAGTTTTCATCCATTTAGAAATCAATGTAATTTAGGCAATAGCATTAGGACTTAATCTTGCCTAATGCTGAATTTTAAAATGCTTACAAATTTGCACCTATCAATTGATCATATAATTATTGTTATTTACTTTTATAGCCTACCGACTGAAGTTTTTGTAAAACTTCCTAACCATTTGACTCATCTAAAACTAATTATTTAAAATATATTTTAGTTGTTTTAGAAAAGAAGAAATTTGGAACAGCTTTTAGCGAATTTCCCTTATGGGGAATAAGCAATTTTTTACAGTATGGTCTAAGAGAAAATTAATTAATTTAAATCATAGACAGTATAGCCTACAGATGAATAAAATACACAATTAATTTGGGGAAAAATATCGATAAGAAATGTGCTAGAAACCAAACAAATAAATAAACCTCACTGATTTCAGAATTGAAGATTACACAAACAGAAATATTAAATTATTATGTAGCTAGCAAGGAGTTCCAATAAAAAGCAAGTTCTCTTCCCACAAGAGACGTATATTTTTTCTAGAAAGGTGGATGTCCTAGTGCTACTTAAGATTGGTTTACAGCCTCCAGAACTATACAGGAACCAGTCAGTTGTCAGGTGTTATAGGACTAGGACTGAGAACATGTAGTTCCTGTCAAGGGCAGTCCTGATACTGTTTGAGGCCAAGTTGGACATACGACACTGATTAGCATTTATATTAGCCAAGTAGATTACTATTGATGAGCTTGACAGAACATCAATATGGTTCAGGTAGTCTATCCATTTAACCATGGAGTGTTATTCAAATGAAATCTTTAGGTAAGAAAGTTAGCGTAATGAGTATTATTGTCAGCAAATGATATGGTTCTTTTATTCATGTTGTATGTTAACTATGCCAGAAGGAAAGTACTGTTATTTAGCTGTACAGAGATATCACATGTATGAGGACCAAGCAAACTGTTATGTTATGTTAAATTTAAATACAAAAAAATTGAGTTAAATTTTAATAGATAATAATGTTATTTTACTATAGCCTACATTCGTTATTTACGAAACATTACCAAGTAAGGAAAATTTAAATATTTTTTTCCATTATCTCCAGAAAACTAAATATATACTTACTTACCTCCGTCTTAGCTTAATAGAATTTTACTTGACGGAGATTAGTAACCTGTATGTGATATTGCCAGAATAATCTTTGGGTGAAACATAACACTCGATGAACTGAAGGCAAAAACAGTTCAGTATTTTTTGTAATTTTGTAATGGATTTTCAGAGCTTCACTATTATAGTGTGATAACATTGACGGGGAAACAATGTTAATCTGAGGTCGATATACCAATGACACACTACAACGCACACATTCACACTGACACACGGCAGGGGAGGCTAAGACACTTATGGCACTTTCAATGAGTTA